GCGGATGGAATTCGGAGGAGGCCTAGTCTGTGGGATCTAATCGGTCTGGTGGAGGTAATTGGCAGCAGGCGGTCTCTCAAGTACCCAGGTCCAATACCATGAAGAGCAGGGCTGTCAAACTCAATTTCATTGAGGCCGCCTCTGGGTTGTGTTTGACCTCAAGGGGGGGCATGTCCAGCTCGATGTCACCTATCGAGGCTCCATTTTGGACCGCGATGGTCTCCCCAAGTTCTACTTTCATTGGCAGAGACTTGCAGGAGGCCGTCACAGCCCAAAATGGAGCCCTGGAGGGCCACACGCAGCCCTCCCAAGCTCCCTTTTCGCTGGCAGAGGCACTGCTGGCCAGTTCTTCACTGTTTCGACGGCAGGCCCATGGGCCAGAACTAAGCACCCCATGGGCCGGATCCGGCCCCCGGGCCTTGAGTTTGACACCCCTGCCATAGAGTGTGTGTAGTGACCCTGTGAAAATCATTGCTATGAGGGGTAGTAATGGCCCCATAAGCTTGCATTACTTTAGATGGGGATTGGGTAATTGAGGACAAGTATATCAAGATATATTAGACTAAAGGTGACTTCTGAGATTGCAGAGATGACCTTGAAGAAGATGTGCAAGAGGCAGTTATCAAAACACACAGAAGAGGGTGGGCCAATATATTTTCCAAACGACCAGAAGGCAAGACAAGAAGCAATGGATGGAAACTAATCAGAGAGATATAATCTAGACCTAAGGAGAAATTTCCTGACAGTAAGAACAATTAACCAGTGGAACAGCTTGCCTTCAGAAATTGTGAGGGCTCCATCACTGGAGGCTTTGAAGAACAACCATTTATCTGAAGTAGTTTAGGGTCTCTTGCTTGAGCAGGGGGTTGGACTAGAAGACCTCCAAGGTCCTTTCCAACCCTGTTATTCTGTTATGTAAGCCCAGGACAGGAAGAGAAAATTAGGGGGGAAAATTCACTCTGCAATTGAAATATTTGATTACCCAGCATATGTTACATGTCACATGGAATTGAAGATGTTTAAAACCATTCAAGGGTGTTCATGTTTTTCAGGAGGAGGCCTCTGTCAAAATTGGTGTAGCATTATTGAGAGATGAAGCTGTTAATCCTTTCCCTTATCTTCACAACGTAAAGGATCTTTTAGATAATGGATGGGAATGATCCATGAGACGGATGGCAAATAAATTTAATGATAAATAAAACAATTGTCACTGCAAGCAATTTTCCCCCTTTGGCTTGTGTTCCTCTCTGATTCATTCTTCTCTTTAATGTTCCATTCAGATTCGTTCAGACAAAGACAGTGAGATCCATATAAGATACAGCATCACAGGGGTGGGAGCTGACCAGCCCCCTATGGAAGTCTTCAACATTGACCCCGTGTCAGGGAGAATGTACGTGACCCGTCCAATGGATAGAGAAGAAAGAGCATCCTACCATGTAAGTTTGTGCTTCTCATATCTTGTCTATTTTTTCCTTCCTTCCTTCCCCCCTCCCTCCCTCCCTCCATCCCTTCCTGTTCTTCCTTCCTGTCTTCCTCCGTCCATCCCTGCCCTTCCTGCCTGCCTCCCTCCCTCGCTGTTCTTCCTTCCCTCCTTCCTCCCTTTGTCCCTCCCTGCCCTTCCTTCCTCACTTCTTCCTTCCTTTCTTCCTTCCTTCCTCACTTCTTCCTTCCTTTCTTCCTTCCTTCCTCACTTCTTCCTTCCTTCCTTCCTTCCCTCCTTCCCTCCTCTCCTTCCTCCCTCTATCCCTCCCTGCCCTTCCTTCCTTCCTTCCTTCCTCCATTCTTCCTTCCTCCCGCCATCCCTCCCTGTTCATCCTTCCTCCCCCCCCTCCCTTCTCTGGCAATTTCTTTTTTTTTTCCTTGTGGGAATATTTTTTATTTCCATTTTCATAACACACACTCACATGTATACTATACATAGCCCTTCTCTGGCAATTTCAAGCACATCTCAATCATGATAGAATGTAAAGTTCTGAAAATCTAGAAATTTTCTAATGAGAAATTTTGTTTGTGCATATGTATACATACGTACGTACATACGTACATACCAGGGGTGGGTTTCAACTGGTTCACGGCGGTCCCTGCGAACCAGTTGGTCGCCAAACCCAGAAGTAAGTAACTTCCTGGAACAGTGAAGGGCACGCCCGCCCGCCCGCGGTCCTTACCCGGTTTTGACGAGTTCTGTGCTTCCATGCATGCGCAGGACGCATACAGCGCCTACGCGATCATCCAGGAGCAGCTGGAGCATCGCGCAGATGCTAGTACGCATGCGTGCACCGCGCGCGTGCACGAGGACGCCGCCGGCCCCGTTCCAACCGAACAGGGTGGAACGGGGCGAGAAACCCACCCCTGGTACATACATACATACATACATACATACATACATACATACATACATACATACATACATACATACATACATACTGTATATGCACAGACTTCTATGTTGACTGAATAATGATAAAAGTACCTGTATAAATAGACAAAATTGTGTATATGTGTTTATATATGTATGGTAGTAGATTTCTTGTGTCACTCTTATTGGCTTTTGGAAAACTTTATTTTTATGTATTTTTTTGCTTGTCTATTTCAAAAAGTGTGTGTGGATAATTGTAAATTACTGCCCTCTAAAATATTCATGATAAGATTATCAAATCAGGTAAATTTTGGATATAAAATTTATACTTTTTGAAATATCTCCAAATTTGGGTATTTTTAGATTACATTTGTTTACATGTATTATATTTCTATTCTTATTTTCTTCTTAGTTCTGTCTACCAGCTGTGAGTTTGCCAGTTATTTGCTGTGTTTGTTTGACATGTGGCTCACTCTTTCATTCAATTGATTGTATTAATTTGCATAACACACTGAATTATACAGCAACCAAACTGTCTGAGTTTATAAATTATGTGACTGAAACACAGTTGTCTGGTTAGTTGTTCATGTGAACTCTCTTACCAAAACTGTATCTTCCCAGGATTATGGATTTTTAACTTTTTTTCCTGCTCTTGCTGTTATCCTGCAAGGTTAGAAGATCTGGTGACATTATGAACACATCATGAACTCATTTCTAAAACCACCTTCTAACAATCATGACAAACCCAGACAAAAGTAAACCTAGCTTGCTGAAGGAGAAGGTACCGGGAAGGCAGAAAGACATATGTAAAAAAGAGAATGGCGTTGAAAGAAAAAACCCTGTTAGAAAGAAAATGAATGTCCCGGCCATTTTGCACTTTGAACCCACTTAACAGTTAATTTAGGAGGCAGGATGGTTCAGTGCAGTGGTGGGATTCAAAAACATTTTTTACTACCAGTTTTCTGGGCGTGGCTTTGTGGTGTGGCATGGTTTTGTGGGGAAGGATAGTGCAAAATCCCCATTCCCTCCCCACCCCACTAACCTGCTTTCCAGCCCCATTCTCCTGTTCAGGACAGCAAAAGAAGATCAGATAGGAGGCTGGGAGGCAGCGTGGGCGTGGCCAGCCTATTTACTGGTTCTCCGAACTACTCAACATTTCCGCTTCTCCAGATCTGGTCAGAACTGGCTGAATACCACCTCTGGTTCAGTGGCTTAATGACACTGGAGATTGTCTCAGTTCTGGCAGTTCGAATCCTAGCACTGTGTGGCAGGGTGAGCTCCTGTCACTCCCCTTAGCTTCTGTCCACCTAACAGTTCGAAAACTCACAAGTAGATAGGTTAGGTACCACTTGGGTAGGAAGACAAGCCGTGCTCTGTGCAGGCAGGCAGATTCCTGATGGCTTTGAAAATTCCCAGTTGCACCACTTGCTTGTGGGACAGCTTTGGGAAGGGAGGAGCCCTTGGGTTGCAGGAAGAACCGCTCGTCTTTCTCTCTGGTGCAAAGCCAGCTTGCCCTTCTATGGCATATCTTGGGAAAACATGCGAGTGTGGACTATAACAGGGCTGGTACCTAGGAGTGGTATTCACTTATCTTCTCTACCGGTTCGCAAATGTGAGCCACGTCTGCGCATGTACTCAGCCTTCCATGTGTGTGCTTTGGCTAAAAAAAAAGTGCCTAAATGGGATAGCATAGAGCCAGGTTGGGTGGGAGGGCCCACTTACGATTTCCACTACTGGTTTGGGTGAACCGATCTGAACTGGCAGAATATCACCTCTGCTGGGTACCTTGGCAAGCCAAAGTATCACTCTGCACTAGCAATGTGGTCTCCCAGCTACTATAACAATGTCATACGCTAATATTGGTTCAATTTCATTCAGGGGTGACATGAAAGCAATACTATACAGTTTGGTTGCAAAGGATTTGACTAGTCTACTTGACATCATTGTCCATATCCCAAAGGTGCTTCCTCAAGAAACAACTGGACTTTCTGGTTTTCCTTTGAAGATCTCATCCAAAAAATCTTTTTCAGCTATCTTGTTTGAGAAGCGAAACGTCTTCAAAGAAAAAAAAAAACAGAAAGTCCAGTTGCCTCTTGAAAAAGCACCTTTGGGACAACCATGATCTGGATGACTTAGAATCTATGTAGACATCACTGTCCATGGTTCTGCACTTGAAATACTGACGTTGTGTGGATTCCAGTAATAGCTATCCATGATCCTGTTCATGTAAGACCAGAATTCATCCAATTCAGTCAGATACGTGGTGTCTATGAAGGTGTCAGAACATAAACACAACTTCCCATAGACACATCTACGGAGTACCATAGTTCATACGGATTTCTCCTTGGATCAAAATCAGAGGAGAAGGAAGCCCAACAACAGAGGTGGTATTCAGCCGGTTTGGTCTGGTTCAGGTGAACCGGTAGTGCCGATGATCAGTTGACCCCACCCACCCACTCCTGTCCTATCCTGTCCTTTATTTCCTGTTTTCTACCTCATCTCAATTGCACGGCACAACTTGATTTCTCCCCCCTCTGCTGTTCTACTTACCGTTGCTGACTTAGAAGGTAAGCAGCTGAGCTTCTAAATGCTCCATTTTCAGCACTGTGTGTAAATGCTTTAGGCGCATGCATGCAAAGTGCATGTCAGGGCTGCTTCACTTAATAACCAAGAAAGAAATCCACTCAACTCCATTTTGCAGAATTAAGAGTACTTTTACTGGTTATAAGTAAATAGAAGCTAAGCAAAGCCGGATCTGAAACAAAAGCGCGTGCAAGCATAGATATCAACGTATGACCCATTCCCCTCCCCTTGGTAACCCCAGCCCATAGTCCAATCCAATTACT